CAGTTGTGGATACAGCGCTTGTGGGTGTCGACTTCAGTGGAGCTCCCTATGGGGCCACGGAGCGCGTGAGAGGTGTACCACAATAGGCCTGGGGCGCATGTGGGCCCTGCAGCTGGGCCTTTCGGTGGAGCTCCTTCTGGGGCCACGACGCGTGCGACGGGTGTGCCGACATGGGTGGGGAACCGCATACGATTCCCCCTCTGAGGGCGTCGGTGGAGCTCGCTTTGGGGCCACGGAACGTATGAGGGGTGTGCCAACATAGGTAAGAAACCAATGCGACCCCTCCCCTCCTGGGGCCTTCGGTGAAGCGCCCTGTGGGGCCCAGCATCGTGTGAGGGATGCGCCAGGATTTGTAAAAACCGCATGCTAAACCATCTTCTTGGGGGCTTCCTTTGAGCTCCCTGTGGGGCCACGAGTCGTCCCAGACCTGGTAATAATCAAATGCGAACACCCCTCCTGGGGGCTTCGGTGGAGCTTCCTTGGGCCACGAAATGTGCGATGGGTGTGCCGGCATGGGTAAGAACCGCATGCGACCCCATCCCCCTAACGGCATCGGTGGAGTTCCCTGGGGACACGAAGCGTGTGAGGGTTGTGCCAGATATTGCAAGAATCACATGCGAACCCCTCTTCGTGTGGGCTTCCTTGTAGCTCTCTGTGGGACCACGAATCGTGTGCCCAAACGGGTAAGAACTGGATACGACCCTCCCCCTTCTGGGGCATCGGTGAAAAAAGCTGATGGGGCCACCAAACGTGTGACGGGTGTGCGGAAATGTGCGTGCGGAGTGCAGAGGCAGGGACGGGAGGAGGGAGGGGGGAGGAGAGGAGAGGAGAGGAGAGGAGGAGAGGAGACGCGGGGCGATGTCCCTTCAAAACCAAGACCCGACACCACAAGATGATAAGGAAAAATCAATGTGTCGGAGATCTGGGTTTCCCGCTGCACGTTAACAATGCCTTTCTTGCCGCGAGTGTCCGTCGTATTTCGGGCGTCTATATTTGCGCTACTCTGCGCCGCGAGTGCCCCTGGCTCTGGGCCAGGGGTGCGCAGGTGCACAGTGTTGGATAGTCGAGGATTGAAGAGGTTGCAAAGTGATCGATGATCGAGGAGGATCGAGGAGGATCGAGGATCGATTCAAATCAAAGAGGATCTACGAGGAGGGGGAGGAGGAGGAGGAGGAGAAGGAGGAGGAGAAGGAGGAGGAGGCGGGTGCCCGCGGCTTCAAAACCGAATATGTGTATACACATCGAAATGAGCATGTTTATCGATCGCCCACCATATACCGTACGTGTCCCTTGGTGCACTTACGCTTACATTGCGCATCTACATCTACCCGCATATACGTAAGGCTGTCCACACGGAGCATGTGTATATACCGAAGAAGATGAGAAAGAACGCATAAACATCTACATGGGTGCAGGTGTACCAGTATAGCGGCAATTGCCCTCTCCTTCTCTCCCTCCATACTTTCTCCTGTCTCCTACACGTCATCCTCCCTCCTTCGTGCCTCCTACACGTCCTCGTCCTTCTCCCTCTCCTTTTCCCCCTCCTTCCTCCCCTCCTCCTCCTTCTCCTCCTCCTTCCTCCTCCTCCTCTCCTCCTCTCCTCCTCCTCCTCCTCCTCCTCCTCCTCCTCCTCCTCCTTCTCCCCCCCCTTCCTCCTCCTCCTCCTCCTCCTCCTCCTCCTCCTCCTCCTCCTCCTTCTCACTCCCTCGCCCTCCGCGGCTCCAGCATCAGTCTCGTCGTCTCAGGTCTGGTGTCACCAGAGCCCGGCGTGTAAGAAGGTCAATTCCTCCTCCCCCCCCTGCTCGGGGACCGAGCCCTACACGCCGACGCCTTTTCTGGCCCTGCGCTGAAGTTTGCACAGGCAAGCGGATGCTGGTGTATACTGGCCCCCAGTGTATACATTTTCTGTTGTTTCCATGGAAAACGGATAAATTAAGTATGCCCCACAACATCCCGACGTCGTCCCCGACCCTGACAAGTCCTGGGATTGAACAGCAGCCCGCCACTGGCAACGTGCATGTTCCAGTTTCCGACCTCCCTCCCTCCTCTCACCTCCACGTCCTCCTCCCGCCCTTGGCCTGAAGGAACACAAAAGCTGGCTCAAGGAAACAGGTCCTGAGAAACCGAAGGCTCTCCCCGGCACCAGCTTTCTTCCTCCCGAGTCTGCATTCTTGCGGTCCCCGGGGGCTGCGGAAGGCCCTGGGGAGCCCGAAGACCGTGGAAAGCTTCCAAGACCCGCCTCTCTCAGGACCCGCTTTCCTCATGGCGACGCCTCCTCCCTCCCCCACCACCAGGAGGCCAATACGCGCCCCCAGATGGGGCAAACCTCCGCGGACTGGCCCCTCGCTTCAAGAGGCCAGCGCGGGCACTATGGGACTGCTGCGCGCCGGCCCGGGACTCCGTCGCGAGGCAGGCTCTGCGCAGCAGCAGCTAAAGCATCGGCAACACGTGCGAAGGGCGGCGAGACGCAAGAGAATCGGGGAGGGTGACTCGCATTTGACTGAAGGGACGTCAGGAACGCGCCGAGACGTAATCTGAACTTTGAGGCGAACCCCTGCTGCAAAAATCTCACGGACATTGACCGTCGGGCGTATCTTTTTCACGAGAGCTACAACACGTGCAAATGAGAGCCAGTTTGCTCCACCACTCGCGATGACGCCCGTCAACCAGGCCGCCCCCCCCCTCCCCCCACCCTGAGGGGCAACGAGAGGGGGGGGACTGGCAGAAGGGGGGACACACCGACCTGGAATCGGCGATACATCGCTGCTAGATCGGCGATGGGCCCCCGACAGTGAGTCCGCACCAGACCCCTATCGGCGCTCCATGGGGGCGCCTGGGGGGCGATGCGCCCCTCCTGTGCCCATCCCCTCCCTGCCGTTGCCCCCGACACCCGCCGGCAGCCTCGGAGCCGTAGGGGCTGTGGCTCGAATCGCGTGTGTTTTACGTAGGTTCTCCTCCTCCTCCTCCTCCGTCCTCCGTCCTCCTCCTCCCTCCTCCTCCTCCTCCTCCTCCTCCTCCTCCTCCTCCTCCTCCTCCTCCGTCCTCCCTCCTCCTCCTCCGTCCTCCCTCCTCCTCCTCCTCCTCCTCCTCCTCCTCGACGCCACGGCTCCCTCCGCAGACACCCAGACGCCTGGCAAAATCCAGCCGCTCCTCGGCGCGCGGGCTCCTGGGACCCCTCGACCCCTCGGCCCCGCAGCAGGAGGGAGGACGAGCTGCTGCCAGGAGGAACGCAAACTGGGGGACGAAGCCCATTCCTGGTTGGGCCCCGAGGTCGCCTGGACCCCTGCGACCCCTCGGCCCCCCAGAAGGAGAAAGCACGGCGCACAGTCGAGCTACTGCCAGCAGCAACGCGACAGAAGGGGCGAAGCCCGTCTTGGAGCCCCGAAAGCCCCTGGGCCCCTCGATCCCTCCCCCCTAGAAGAAAGCACGGCCCCATCAGAAGCATCCTGAGGTCCGGGCGTGCGGATCTTTGTGTTCCCGCAATGCACCACCACCAAGCATAGACCTTGCGCCAATGATGCCGGATGGACATCCGGCGCAGCCTACAGGCCGATCCGTCATAGCTAGATCACCAGGTGTTGGCCCGGACTCCCGGAGGTCTGGGCGTGCGGATTCGTCGGATCTGCGCTGGACATGCGTCGCCTTCTCCTCCTCCTCCTCCCCCTCCTCCTCTTCCTCTTCCTCTTCCTCCTCCTCCTCCTCCTCCTCCTCCCCTCCTCCTCTTCCTCTTCCTCCTCCTCCTCCTCCTCCTCCTCCTCCTCCCCTCCTCCTCCCCTCCTCCTCCCCCTCCTCCTCTCTTCCTCCTCCACCTCCCCCCCTCCTCCTCCTCTCCTCCCTTTTCCCCCCCTCCTCCTCCTCTTCCTCCTCCTCGTCCCTCCTCCTCCTTCCCCTCCTCCCCTCCTCCTCCTCCTCTTCCTCCTCCTTCTCCTCCCCTCCTCCTCCCCTCCTCCTCCCTTCCTCCTCCACCTCCTCCTCCTCCTCCTCCTCTTCCTACTTCTCATCTCTTGCCTTCTCTCTCTCCTTCTCCTTCTCCTCCTCTTCCTCCTCCTCTTTCTCCTCTTTTCCCTGCTTCTCCAAGTCCCAAATGTTCCCCCAATGGGATTCCACAAGGGCTGGGAAACAACATAGCCCAATAGCTTGATCATTCATTGGCACAACGTTTTGGCACATGGGCGCTTCCAAAAGGCATGTGGCGCGGTGCTTCGTTGTATGCGTTTTCGCTGTATGAGCCAATGCACATGCGTTCGCCTCATACATACATTCATGCATACATACACACATAAATCCATACATACACACATGCATACATACATACATCCATACACACATACATACATGCACACATACACACATCCAGACATACAAACATACAAACATACAACCATACATACACATACACATACACATACACATACATACACACATGCATGCATGCATGCAGGCATACACACATACACACATACGCATACTTACAAACATACATGAGTGCATCCATACCTACCTACCTACCTACATACATACATACATACACAGCCGTACATACATACGTACGTCCATACGTACACACACATGCATCCATACAAGCAAACAACCATACACACATGTACACATGCATACCTACCTACCTACCTACCTACCTACCTACCTACATACATACATACATACATACATACATACACACATACATACACACACATACACACACATACATGCATGCATACATACATACATACATCCATCCATACATACATACGTACACACATCTGTAATACCTACATACACACATACACACACATGCATACGTACGTACACATACATACATACAGCGATATATATGCCCCATAATGCCTCCCAAGATGGTCTCAAAGAGTCCAACATCATTGATTGCGCGTTCGTTTTTTAAATTCTCTGGCGCTCTCGCCGTTTCGGTTTCCCGACGCTCCCAGACGGCCCGAGAGGCCCCCAAGTCGTCCCAAGACGGCCCAAGAGGCTTCCAAGAAGGCCCCCAAATGGCCCAAGAGGGCCCCAAGACGGCCCACGAGGCGCCCCAGACGGCCTAAGAGGCCCCAAAGACGGCTGGCTCCAAGAGGGGGTCCATATGGGGGACCTGCACAAACATTTCGAGCCCTCGGCCCTGAGTAGCCCCCAGGAGGTCCCAAGAGGCCCCGAAAATGCCCCCAAGAGGCCCCAAGAGGCCCCTAAGAGGCCCCGAGGGGCTCCTGAGAGGCCCCAATAGGCTCACAAGAGGCCCCAAAACTGCCCCCAAGAGGTTCTCGAGAGCGCCCGGAGGAGACCCCAAGAAGCATCCCGGAGAATTCTAGCCCACAACCCAGGCACGGTGGCGGGATGGGCTGAAGGCCATTCGATCCGCCGCCCCCTGTTGGCTTGCCGCAGGGGTGCCCTGCGTGCTAAATCCTATCGCTCTTGGTTTTGGTTCTTTTTCCCACAGAGCTCTCCCCAAAGGCTCCGGCCCGTTCCGCCGGCCACTCGGAAGGCGCCCAATTTTCCCACACATTTTCCCAAGATGCCTCAATATGGGTTTCAAGTCCGCCGAGATGGCCCAATATGGCCTCCAAGATGGCCAAGATGGCCTCCAAGGCGGCCCAAGAGGGTCCAAGATAGTTCCAAGTGCGCCCAAGAAGCCTCCAAGACGGCCCAAGAGTGCCCAAGGGGCCTCCAAGACGGCCCAAGGAGCCTCCGAGAGGTCCTCCAAGAGGGCCCGAAGAGGCTAACATCATTGATTTCCCTGTGGTTTTTGAAGGACTTTCGTAGTTGCTCCTTTTGGACCTTCCGACAGCCCAAGACGGCCCAAGAGGCCCCCAAAGATCGCCCCCAGAGCGCCCAAGAGGCCTCTAAGATGGCCTCAGGACTTCCCAGAATGTCCCCAAGGCGGCCCCAAGAGGGCCACAAGACGGCCCAATAGGCCTCTAAGGTGCCTATGGGGACCTCCAAGAAGGCCCTGGAGCATTCCAAGAGGGCCCCAAATCGGCCCAGAGAAGCCCCCAAGACGGCTTCCGACGGCGTCAGACGGGCCAGGAGCCCACCAAGACGGCCCAAGATGGCACTAAGATGGCCCCTAACGGCCCAGGAGGCCTCCAAGAGGGCCTCCAGGAAGGCCCGAAGAGGCCAAAATCATTCCCCACATCCGAAGTGGGGTTCTTGTTTTCTCTGGGCACCCTGCGCAGGAACTCACCCACCTACCCGCCCATTCACTCACTCACTCACTCACTCACATTCTCAGCATCATCATCATCAATGTCGTCATCATCATCATCATCATCATCATCATCATCATCATCATCATCATCATCATCATCATCATTGTCATTATCATTATCATCATCATCGCCCTCATCATCATCATTCACTCACTCGTTCACTGACTTACTCACTCTTCTCGGGCGGGAACCTCGTCTGTGAGTGAACCGAGAGGAAGTCTCAGGCGAGAGCCCCCTCCCATCGGGCCCCCAGCTCATGCTTGTAATCCGATGGGGTTATCGGAAACCTGTACCTGTCCCCACTGTTGGGCTCCAGGGGCTTGAACATAGAGGAAGTATCAGACAGGAGCCTTCGTCTATGAGTGAATTGCGAAACAAATATCAAGCGGAAGCCCATTCCCTATGGGGCCCGCAGCTCATGTTTGCAATCTGAGCGGGTAAACTTCTAACTGTCGTCACTTTTGGGCCACCTGAAGCCAGAATGTGGAGGACCTATCAGGCAGGAACCTTCGTCTATGAATGACTTGCGAAGAACTCTCAAGCGGAACCCCCTCCCTATGGGGCCCAGGCTCATGTTTGTGATCCGAGCGGGTTGTCGGAAACCTGCAACTGTCGTCACTTTTGGACCCCCTGAGGCTTGCATGTGGAGGAAGTATCAGGCGGGGGCCTCGTCTGTGAGTGAATTGCGAAAAAGTCTCAGGCGGGAGCCCCCTCCCTATGAGGCCCGCCGCTTATGTTTTGTAATCCGAATGGGTTATCAAAAACCTCAGTCGTCATGTTTGGCACCCCTGAGGCCTGAGTATGGAGGAACTATCATGCAGGAACTTTCGTCTATGAGTGACCGGCGAAAAAAAATCAAAAAGACCCCCCCTCCCTATGGGGCCCGCGGCTCGTGTTTGCAACCCGAACGGATTATCGGAAACCTGTAACTGTCGTCACTTTTGGGCCCCCGGAAATTTGAATGTGGAGGCAGTATCAGGCGGGAGCCTCGTTTGTGACTGAAATGCGAGGAAGTCTCAGGCGGGAGCCCTGCCCCTATGGGGCCCGCCGCTCATGTTTGTAATCCGAACGGGCTCCAAACTTGTAACTGTCGTCACCTTTGGGCTCCTCAGGCTTGAACATGGAGGAAGTATCAGGCGGCATCCTTGTCTGCGAATGAATTGCAAGGGAGCTCTGTTGGGGGCCGCCCGTGGAGCTATTTGGCTTTTGGCCTCGTCGCATTCTGCGAAGCGAGAGCCTTTGGTCTCGTCAGGTATGCGCGCCTCTGGCCGCGTACGGCTCC